CCAGTGAACAAGTCTCTTGTTATGCTTAAGAAGTTTATTAGCTAGTGCACTAAATGGGCAAACATAGTGTTATGAGTGTACGACAGGGCATTTTGCGGGCTCAGAGGCTGGGGACCTAAACTGACAATCAAGCTCGAGGTCAAATGAAAGGATTTCCCTCAGTGTAATTAAGCAACTCTTTGGTCTAATTTCAAGTCATGGGGAAATACTGATTCAAGGGAAAAAGACAATTATCTAGGAAATATTAAATATTTATAAACCTTTTGGATCTGATTAGTTTCCAGAAAGTAAATGTTAGTGAATAACCTATAAAAACCAAGCTCACTGCTGTTGAGGGAGCTCTGGCAGAGCCCGTAAGAAGCTGCACTGCGAACTCGAAGGCTGAGACTCTCCAGCAGTCTGAATCAACAAGTGGCTCTGAGAGGGAAAGGCGGGCCAGCCCCTCTCTTGTGATTTATAGTCTTGGAAAGCCAAGTGAGGGTCAGTTGTGAGTCAGCTCCCACTCAATGATAATGAGGTGGGGTTGGTTTGTTTTTTAAAGTTCTTTGCTCTTGACTCCAACCCCCAGCAACCCTACCGGAAAGAAAAGAACTGTCCCTCTAGAGTTTCTAAGGCTGTAATCTTGATGGAAGCAGACCACCTCATTTTCCTCTGGAGGAATGTCTAGTGGGTTTGAACTGCTCAACTTTTGGTCCACAGCTGAGTGCTTTGCCATTGTGCTACAAGGGCAATCATTTATTAAATGTGAGTCTAGAAAAGTCAATCTTACATTTCAATACTCACTTTGGCAATAAATATTTATAAAGCATCTACAATGTGTCAGGCATGTAAGTTTACAGTCAAACTCTTTAATAGCCTGTGACGTTTAGGGGCAATCCCTTGAGCCTTGTCAAATTTGTATATAATTTTTTTTAACTTCCTACTTACTTAACTAATGGCCTACAATTGACCAGAAGCCTTACCACTATGTACTGTATTAAAAAACCCCACTCATGGTCATTTAGTTGGAACTGACTCATAGTGGATACTTTCAGAAGCTGTAAATCACACAGCAGGTGACTGTTCATCTGTTTCCCCCACCCCGCACAGCAGCTGGTGGATTCGAACCATCTGCCTTTGGGCTGGCAGTGCAACTCCCTACCCACTAAGTCACTAAAGTTCCCATATATATGTTGTTGCTGTGTACTGCAGAGTTGGAACCAACCCCTAGCTGACTCTCTGGCAGGTTTTTAGAAGGCGGAGATTGCCTGTCCTTCTCCCACGGAGAAGCTGGTGGTCTCGAATTGCATGCCTTTGGGATTGCAGCACAGCTTCTTGCCACTAGGCCACCAGAGCTCATATATATATGTAGTACCCATATAAAAGTTGCATTTAAGATGAAACACAGGTATTTCACAAAAGGTGCAAGGTTTCTGAGCCGGCTGCTAAAGCTACATGGATTTTCTTTTCTGTTTACAACGGTCTGGCTACTGGTTTCATTTATCTTCAGATAGTGAGCAGCCTCACTGCAGACTTCAATCGACAGCAAGTAATTCAACTTCTCATAATGTTAAGACTTTTCTCAGCTTTTTGGGAGCACTTCCTGGATCACCAGTGGAACTTTATATCTGTCCTGTGGTGTTATGCAAGGTTTAGGGTATTGCACTAAATACGATAAAGGACAAAAGCCTCGTGATAGTACTTTTTACTTCAATATGGCCAAAATTAGATGATACAACTATTAATGGAGCACCGAACTGTTAACTCAGAATACCATCAAAAGGCTTAAAAAACAAACAAAAAACTTCATATAAGCAGATCCCCAGCAGTTCAAACCCAAACTGCTCAAGATCAACTTACAATGTTGGACTAATTGATTCAGTGCTGTCCATCAGAAGATTCTAGTTTAGAGTTTAGTAGAGGAGACAGATATTAAACAAAAATACCTATTTACTGCCAAACGATACATTCTCAAATTCTTACCAGTAATTAAATCTGAAGGTATTCTATCCGTCAAGAAATCGACCACAAGGATTCGGCTGGTTGCAAAAATGACTCCACCACGGGTGTAAACTTCATAGCGGTTGTTACTGACAATCTCATTTGTGACCCGTCGAGGGAGGTGATCAACACCATCGAGCTTCAGCTGACTAATAAAATACTCCTAAACCAAACAGACCAAACTGGATTAGTAGGTGGTTTGTTTAGTGCAGGCAGGCATTAAAGTGATCACTGATTTACATTCTTGGAGACAATGAACAAAGCCTGACCAAGCAAATTAGGTTACTATTTCATCTTGGGTAACCCACTCAGTCTACATGTAGAGGGCTCATTTTAGGCTTAGCATGAAGGAGTCACTGCATGTGAACTGCTAATGGCACTTTACAACCTTTTTAAAATCTTGGATCAAAAGACTTGTGTTATCTGAGAAATTCTTGCCCACCAAAAGTCAGCCTACATAACTGCATACAAAGGATATAAAGGAATCCCCATCTAGACTGTTTTTTACTATTAGGTCTGTCCCCATTTGCTCTAGAGAGGCCTTCATCATGTCAGGAGGTCTCTGAGCCCTTTACATCTTTAATTTAAGAGCCTGGCTACAGGGTAAGTTATGTTGTATTAGACGCTAGACAAAGCAGTGGATGGACCCCCAGATGAACAATACAGGGGACCCTCCCTCAAGAAGTCTGTGATCATTTTTCTTCCCAGTCACCTGCTCTACTAAATGGCTCATCAGCTTTGTCAGATGACACCTTAGCACATGGGTGTCCCCTTTGGAACTTGTCTCCTACTTAATCGGAATCGCCTTCAATATTCCCTCCTTTCCCATTGCCCTTAATAACCCTCTTCCCCAAAATCCTAAATCTATTGCAGTTCCGACTCATAGCGACCCTCTAGGACACAGGAGAACTGCCCCATAGGCTGTAATCGTTAAAAAGAATACAACCACATCTTTCTACCGCGGTACATCCACCGCTGGTTCGCACCGCCCCCCAGTGGCAAGCCAGCGCTTAAACCACAGAAACTGACAGCAGCTCCTTTTGTCAAAAGGTTTTCCCTATTCAGCGTCTCTTTTCATGTATTCCCCCAAATATACAGAGATTCTTCCATCTCATCACTGTTTCCTTTTAGGGGTCACTCCTCGGCCCTAAGTAAGCTCATCAATAAGCAACTTTGGGGTCACTGTGTGCCTCCCCGTCCCTTTCTAGGACTGGTCCCAGCCAACGAGCTCTCCTTGTCTTCTCGGGGCCTCTCTCAGCGCTCCCACCCGACCCCAGGGGCCTGCACACCCCGGACACCTTCACCCCCCTCGGATGCCGCCCCGCGCCTGCACCCGCCCAGGAAGCCCCCCAGCTCTCCGGATCCTTGCAGGGTGGGCGCCGCCGGAGGCCGTACCTCCTCGGCGGGCTGCGTGTTGAGCACCAGCACTAGGCAGGCCGGGTGGCAGTGCAGCCGGAGGAAGTGGTAAAGCAGCCGGTCCACGCCCAGCCCGCGGGAGCACACCACCAGCCCGTCGGCTTCCAGCAGTTCCAGCACCAGCTGCCGCTCGTACTCCAGCAGCGGCGCCATCGCCGTTCCTCGGGCCGCCGGTCGCGGCTCCATGGACGCCCTTCCGGGGCCGCGGCCGAACGTGGCCGGAAAGAGCCGAGGTCGGAACGAAAAGAGCCGAGGTCGGCACGAGCGTCGGCCGGACGCAGACGAAAAGAACCGAGTCTGTGAAGACGAGCGCAAACCGAACATAGCCGAAGAAAGTCGAGCATGGCCGAACGCAGCCGAAGTGGAGCCGAGCTCGAGAGGGACCAAGTCACCCAGAAATTCAACGGTTCCCTAATCTTATTTCTTCTAGGACACGGGCTCCGCCCAAGAAAGATTAAAAAAAAAAAAAAAAAGGGGGGGGGAGAAATTAACCCTAGGAGTTTAGTCTCCTGACACAATTGGGAAAAAAAAAGTTATTTGAAGATCTTGCAAATGCTCTTAGAATTAGTAGAACTTAGTCCTCAGTACGTTTAGTCTTTAAAACACTGCCTTTTGTCTACATTTAAAAAATTTTGTTTCTTAAATGGAATGATTTCATTTAAGACGTTTTCTTTTAAGCGTTTTATGATAATATTTCTCTTAAAGATCAAAGACCTTCAATATGGGTTACATCTCAACATCAAGAAAGCAAAAATCCTCTTAATAGGCAACATCACAATGGATGGAGAAAAGATTGAAGCTGTCCATTATTGTTCCTGGATCCACAATTAACACCCATAATAAAAGCAGTCAAAAGCCAGAAGATGGGTTAAATTTGGTAAATCTATCGTCAAGGTAAACTCGCCAAACTGTTAAAGACCATGAATGCCAGTTTACAGACTAAGGTGAACCTGATCCAAGCTATGGTCTTTTCCATCATTTCCTATGGACATGATAGCTGAACAATGAGTAAAGAAAACGGAAGAAAAATCAGTGTCTTTGAATTGTGGAGCTGGACACCAAAACTGACTACGGACTGCAAAAGAAAATGCAAAACTTTCTTGGAGAAAGTCCAACTAGGGTGCTCCTTAGATGCAAGGATGGTGAAACTTCACCTGACATGCTTTGAGCATGTTGTAAGGAGGGACTGATCCTTGGAAAAGGACATCATGCTGAGAAAGGTAGACGATCAGAGAAAGAAAGATCCTTAGCAAGACTGATTGACTCAGTGACTATAACAATGGGTGTGAGTATATCAGAAATGGGATGACACAGGACAGAGGCAAGATTCAGATCTGTTCATAGTGTCTCAGTGAGTTGCTCGCTCAAGGGCACCTAATTACAAAAGTGGTTTAGTCGCTAGGGATGAGCTCTGCTAAACTAAAAGAGTGCCTCTTGGGCAGCTCTAATCTACCTCTCGAGAAACAGGAACTATCTTCTCCCATGTGATTTACAGCTTCTGAAAGCTTGCTGGAGGGTCAGCTTTGAGTCAATTCTAACTCCATGGCAATGAATGAGTGATATAAGAGTGATATAATTAGCTATTTAATGTTTTAGATAATTGTTGTTATGTGCTGTCATAGCAACCCTAAACCCTGCTCTGTCCTGTGCAATCTCACAGTCTCTGACACACCTACACTGACTACCCCAGTCACTGAACCAATCCACCTCATAAAAGGTCTTTCTTTCCTGCGCTATCCCTTCACCCTCCCAATTATGATGTCCTTCTCTAAGGACTGGTCCCTTCTTCCACCATGCCCAAAATATGTCATACAAAGCTTCAGAATCCTTGCCTCCTAGGAGCAGCCTGGTTTAACCCTATCTTGGATGAACCTGTTTGTTTTCTTAGCAGTCCATGGTATATAGCAGTCTATGGTATATTCAATACTTTTCTCCTAGACCACAGCTCAAAGGCATCAAATTTTCTATCATCCCTAGTCATTGTCCAGTTCTCTGATGCATAGCAAGTGATTGCAAAGACCATGGCCTGTATCAGACGTGCCTTAGTCTCCAGAATGACATCATTGCTCTTCAGTACTTTGGAGATGTCTCTAACAGCAGACTTTCCTATCACAATATGTCTTTTGATTTTTTGGCTGCTGGTGTGAAGAGTGTTGACTGTAGAGCCAAGCAAACTAAAGCTGTGAACAATCTCAATCTCTTCACCATCCATCATGATGCTGCCAATTGGCCCAGTGGTAAGAATCTTTGTTTTCTTGACATTGAGCCTCAATCCATATTGAAGGCTGCATTTCTTGACCTTCTGCAGCAAATGTTTCAGGTCCTCCTCTGTTTCAGCAAGTAGGGTTGTATCATCTGCATAACACAGATTGTTGATGAATCTTCCTCCAATTCTGATGCCACACTTCTTGTAGAGAATCTGTTCTGCATATAGATTGAAAAGGTATGGGGATAGGATACACCCTTTCCAATATTGAACCATGCAATGTTTCCTTATTTGTTCTGACGACTGCCTCCTGGTCCAAGTATAGATTTCGCATTAGCTCGATCAAGTGTTTTGGGATTCCCATTCCGCTTAGAGTTAGCCACAGTTTGTTGTGATCCACATAGTCACACACCTTTAAAAAATAGCAACCGGGTGTTTTCGTAGCACCATGTTCCTCTTTCCACTAGAGGGAACTCTTTGATAATATTTGTTCTTTTAGCAGACAACTTTTAAACTGGAAAATACAGGTATGTACACATGACTTATTATTCCTTCATCCAGAAATGACCAGTGTTAATGTGAGATCTCTACCTTTTTCAGTCTCTTTTTTCTTTGTACACACACACAATCTCTCTTTCAGCATAGAATTCTTTTACAGGCAAGAGACAATAAATTTAAACTTCAGTTTTGGCACTTAACCTGGGGCAAACCTCTGGACATGATATGCAGTATTCCCTTACAAAATAATATTAAAGGCTGATGAGATTTCTGTAGTGTGAATATACCATACTTGTGAAATTAATATTGTTGTTAGGGACTATGGAGTCAAGTTCTCTATGACTCTTAGCTAATCTATGAATAACTGATCTGAACCTGGCCCTATTCTGAGCCATCCTCACTCTTTCTGACATCCTTGAGCCTGTTGTTAGTCATTATCTTGTTGAAGGTCTTCCTAACTCTGACCCTCCACCTTTCCCAGCAAGATGTCCTTTTCCAAGAATTAGCTCATCTGGAAAACATGCTCCCCAATTTATGAGATGAAGTTTCACCATCCTTGCCTTTAAAGGAGCATCCTGGTTGCACTTCCTCCAAAACAGAGTTGTTTTTTCTTTTGACTGTCCGTGGAATAGTCAATATTCTTCAATGACTCCAAGGCATCAGTTCTTCTTTGGTCTTCTTCATTCATTGTCTAATTTTGGGAAGAAATTGAAAATATTATGGGTCTAAGAGAGATACAAATCAAAACAACTATGAGATATCATCTCACCCCAGTCAGAATTGCAAAATTTAACAGAACAGCAAACATCAAATGCTGGCGAGGTTGTGGAAAAACTGGAACCCTTTATTCACTGTTGGTGGGAGTGTAAAATGTGCAACCCCTGTGGAAGGCGGTATGGTGCTTTCTCAAAAAGTTGCAGATAGAGATACTATTTGACCCAGCAATTCCACTATTGGGAATATACCCGAAAGAGAAGATAACTGATGTCCAAGCAGATATATGCTCACCCATGTTTACTGTGGCTTTGTTCACAATAGCAAGGAGTTGGAAACAACCTAAGTGCCCATCAAAAAACAAATGGATAGAGAAGCTGTGGTATATTCACACAA